TCGCGAGTTCGAGTCCGAATTATTTTTCATTTTATGTGAGAAGTTAGGCATTGAAAAGACACGCACCACTCCATATAGGCCACAGTCAGATGGTTTAGTTGAGAGGATGAATAGGACACTTTTACAAATGTTATCAACTTATGCAAATAAAAATAGGGATAACTGGGATGACAATATACCCTTTGTTCTTATGGCATATAGGTCAACCATTCAAGAAAGTACAGGTTGCTCACCAAATTTAGTCATGTTTGGCCATGAAATTATGAGCCCAGTTGATCTTATGTTAGGGAATCCTCCTTCTTCACCTATTCCCACTTGCCCTGTAGAATATGTAGAGTGGTTAAGAATAGTTTTATCTGATGCGTACAATTTTGTGTCTGAAAATCTTAGACAGGCAGCTTCAAAACAGAAGAAATACTATGATAGGGGATTAAAACCTAGAGAGTTTTCAGAAAATGACTTTGTCTGGAGGTGGTATCCACCCTCAGCTGGTGTTAAGTTAGGATTAGATGGGTAGGGCCATATAAAGTTATTAAAAAGATCACAGAAGTGACTTACCAAGTTCAAAAATACCCTAAGTGCCCTCTCATTGTGGTACATGTAGATCAATTAAAACCCTATGAAGGTATTTTACCTCCTAGAAACTGGACACCAGTAGTTACTTCCCTTGACGAGTCATCAGAACCCCCTGTAGATAATACTCCTGTAGATTTTAATGATCAAGAGGAAGTTGAGGAGACTTTTCCTCCTGTTTTTAATTTACCTAGTCCTGAACCCCTTAGACAGTCAAGGTGGGGTAGAACAATCAAACCCCCTGTTATCTACTCTCCTTGAGACCAGGCATCTAGGCATTTTATTTTTTTTTTTATTTTTTTTTAAATGCCTATGTAAATAGTTATTTTTATTTTTGAATTCTATATAATATGATATATAAAAGGTTTGAGTTGACCTTTTGTAGAGATAACAAATGATATTTAATTTTTGAAATATCTCAGTCTAGTTAAAGTAAATCTTAATTGCTTTTTGATGATTTAGTTTTTGGTAGTCATTTTTTGAGAATAACATTCAAGTTAGCACTGTATTTGACTTTAGTTGATACAAGGTCAATGATAGATGTTTTATTTATTTAATAAGACACAGTGGTTGGCAATGATTTATAGTTATCTAGGAGTCAAAACAGTATATTTCAGATCTTTCGGTTTATTCAGTTACAATAATAATAGATATGAATCATTGAGAGCTTTGTATTCTTAGTTTAATACTGACCGTAGATGATCTTTAAATTATCTCCCTTGTACTGTGCTGAAATCAACACTTAAGTTTTTCATATAGTTAATCTATGGAAGGTGATGCATAGGTCATCCCTTGTTAAGCGTATGTTATAAGTATGTGTACTACTTGATAACATTTTAGTTTTAATTCAGTGGATTCTGAATTTGATAGATAACTATATTGATTAACTTTCCATATATTCAGATATTATTTAAAGTCTTAGAATTTAAGATTTTAATTTTAAAAAGTTATTTTCTTAGAGAACTTGCATTGATGGTGATTAATTTGATTTGATGCTTTTCTAATCCTTGTTATAAAATTTCTCGCACAAGTTGACAGCTGATGTTCTTGAGGAGGAGACGATCCAGAAGAGACTGTGCAGATGAGCTGTAGTACTATTTACACACCAGGATCATGTGTTATGCCTGAGCCATCCGTTTATTGCGAGACAGAGACTAGACAGCAGTAGTTGTGTGATCGTTAGATTTCTCACTGTGAGACCATTCCTGGAACCTCCAGAGGACTTTGAATAGTGACAATGACATTAATATTTGTCTATTGTTTTGAAAACAAAAATTTATTGTAAATTTTGTTTTTTTAAGGGGGAGGAATGTAGTGGTTTAGATTTCTATTTCATAGCCCTCGTTTCGTAAATTATATTTTGCAAGTATTTGCTGGTATTTCAGTCTGATAATTCTATTTACCTTATGTTTTCAGTTGTTACTTACGTAAAACCCCTTTATTATTTGTCTTTTATAAGTTAGGACATGTGTTGACATATTCCACATGTTTTATTTTTTAAACAGGAAGTGTCATCCAAGTTGGGAGTCTTTCCATAGTACTTTTGAAAGCTGTGTTCTGATTGGTTAAGTTAGTTGTAGGTTCTTTGATGTTTATTGGCTTTTATATTTGGGCCTATAGCTAGGGTCTTTAAAGCCGAGTTCGTGTAGTTTTCTTGACTTGGGCTGGGGAACAGACCTAATGGTTAGTTCCTCTTTACAGTGCTAATAAAACCTCCTGGTTTAAACGCACTTATTTGTTTAGTACCCTTTAGTAGTGCTAACAAAATCTTATGATTTAACAGCACTCTAGGTCTTAGCTAGCTTTAGTTTCACGTTTTTCACAAGTTCTAGGTTTTTGTTAGGAAACAGTTAGGATGTAGGATTTATAGAGTTAATTTAGTTTTCCCCTTTCCAAGTCCAGCCTGGTCTAGGGATTTGTAGATAACAGGTATAATTCCTTGAACCACTATTCACTATTTATTATTTATTTTTGGTGTTGTTTATTTTCTGGGTTAGATATTTTTTTTAAGTCCAGATTTAGCTTTATTATTTTTAAGTTCAACTCTAGAGTGTTGATTAGTAGAGTTCATATTGGGTGATGTAGCTCATTTTCCTTACATTTTCCAGCTCATTGGCATTTTCAGTTGTGTATATTTTTGCCCATTTTATTTTCATAAGTATGGAGGCTCAGTAGGGACATAGATATTTTTATTTAATCATCTTTCATTTTTCAAAGGGTTTCCACATTCCTCCCATTTTTTTTCCTATTAAATTTTTCACAAACTTCTTATTTATTTATTGAGTTTATTGTTATTCACTTGCCAAATTAAATTATATTTTTGATAAAACTATTTATTCCTGTACAATTTTGAAAGACTTTATTCTCTGTTAAATTTTGATTATTATTTATTATTTGTTATCATTTACAAAGGTTAATTTAATTCTCACTTTATTAAATTTATAAAACTTACAACTGTGTTTTCATTTAGCGTTGATCATAGTTCAGATATCCCCTTACCTGGGTTGACAATCATAACTGGAGGTAGTTTACTGCTTCAAGCCAAGTTGGCTTGTAACTTTGTTAAGTTATTCATTAAAGAGTTCTACTTCTGGTTACATATATGACGAACTTCGAGACATCCGGGGGTTCGACATATCGAGAGTTATAATTCAAATGAACTTCAGATAAACTTAGTGCAATGAACATGTACTTAACAGTAAAAACATGCCCAATTCCTTCTTGTTTGAAATTCTGTATACGATTTCTTTTATATACTTATACATGTATTTAGCATAAAAAGATTTTTACTGACATCCTCTTCATAATTAACAAAATAAAAACGTTGTATAAAATGCACAGAAGTACATGTATAATCCTTCTGGTTTTCATCAATAGAGCGTTCAGTTTACCCAACGGACTTGATCATCAGAGCGGAAAATTATCCTGACTTCGAGATAACGCAAGTGATTCTAATGAATGGTACACAATTTTACTTCGAGATAACCGGGGTATTCGACAATACCGTGTTCGACATAGAGGGGTTTATTTTAATCATTTATAAAGCAAATTTCGTCGGGACCGCGACCTTACTTCGACATATCCGGGGTATTCGAGATATCCTTGTTCGAGATTTCAAAGTTTAGCTTATGTATATAATATACATATATAATTTTACAATTAAGTGATTATTACGGAAGCCGGTAGGTGCCAGGTAGAAAAATATTTTATCTGGCGGCCGCCAGATAACTTTCTGGCGGCCGCCAGATAAGTTATCTGGCGGCCGCCAGAAAATTATTTGGCGGCCGCCAGATAAGTTTCTTGCGGCCGCCAGTTATTTATGTGGCGGCCGCCAGATAATTATTTGGCGGCCGCCAGAAAGTTATCTGGCGGCTGCCAGATAAAATATTTTTTTCTATCTGGCACCAACCGGCTTCCGTAGATTATCAATGTTTGATAACTTTGTCTTATATTTTTTGGTGCAGAAAGGTCAATTCTCCAGAAATCAATATGAGACATCTCTCTCTCTCTCTCTCTCTCTCTCTCTCTCTCTCTTGCATGAAAAGGTATAGTTTTTGTATGTGAAAATTATTTCTTCAAAAGATATTTTTTTTCAGAAAAAAGAAGTTTTTTTCCCAAATTCTCTAATAAAATAGGAAAAGAAAAATTTATGCAAGGAAAGTGGAATGATATTTACCATGTATGTACGATGTGCTGTATAATAATATTTGTGCTGTATGAATTTCAGTAAATCTGCTATCATTCTAAAACAATGTCTAATGATTGAAATAAATGTTGATTTTTTTTATTTGGTGCAAAATTGATGTTGCCCTTAAATAGAAAGTTTCTTAGAGTTTTTTTTTTTTTTTTTTTTTTTTTGGGGGGGGGGGGGGGTCGCATGCAAATACTAAGACTTTCAGGCAACTCTTTTGGACTTTTATATTTTATCAAGAAGTCAGGTTAAAGGATAAAAATTTTAAACCAAAATCTTTTAAATAAAAATAACATATTTCCTTATTTTTTTCCTCGAGATATTTGTATGGATTTATGTATCTTACATTTTAAAATAATCAGGCATACCGTTATAACGTTTTAACTTTATATAGCATGGTCGTAGGAACCGCGGGGGGGGGGGGTTGGCACAGGAGGGGGGGTCGTGCCCCCCTCAATAATTTTGCCGATATATTGAGTACTATAGAAAACATAGATACTGATGACTTTTTTTTTTTTTTGCTTGTCAGGGAATTTTGTTAATTGATAGTGCTCCCTCTACTGAAAATGTATGACTGGTCCCCCCCCCCCCAACTGAAATTGCTTCCTACGGGCCTGTATCAGCTGTGTATAGTTAGATTTTCGTCAACTTGGAATAGATGGTGTACATGTAGTGGTACAAAATTAATCGGGATCGAGATTCACGAAATTGAGTAATGAAAATTTTTTCTAGTGTATCTGTTGCGTGTTGAATTATAGCTTTTAATGTATGTACTTTGATGAGACACAATGGATAGTAAGCAAAAAGAAATGGACAAAGACGAAAGTCCTTCATCCTCAGCAACAAAGAAAGAGGAAACTCGGACACCTTCTTTTCGGTCTTCAATTCCGCGGTGTGCTGACGATGCACCAGCATTTTCTCGTACCTCTTTCGGTATATCGAATGAAAATGAGCTACCGAGGAATACTTGTTTCTGGACCATTAATGTGATCGATAAATTTGGTATCAGGAGGGTGCTGTCAAACCCATTCAAACTGATTTATCAAGAATGGTGGCCGTTGAGACTAACTAAAGTTGAATTAGCTAGAATTGAGGAAATTGCTGACATATGCTATTTGCCCTGGATTAATTTCAATTCATTGGAGGACATACCCTTTCAAGTGAATATGCCTTTTGAAAAGTTTGGAAATGAGTGGTTCCCGGCAGTAGAATGTGCTGAACTGAAATTGTAAGTATAAGAGCAGGGACGTACATGTACAGTCAGGGGCATAATGCAAACAAGTTATTGTCAAAAATAACTCAAATGAGTTATTTTTTTGTCATAATGAGTTACCTCTCTTTGCTATGACCTACTTTTTCAAGCATTAGTAACTCAAACACGTTATCTTTCCAAAATAGTTTCAATAAAATAATAACTTGTTTAAGTTATTTTGTGTCGTTCCTCCCTAACTTCACACCCAGTGCACCAAAGGTTTTTGCTCGTGCACCAAGACAAAAACAAATGTTTGATTAAATTAAAACCTTGCTCAATCCAGAAAAATTGTTCAAAATCTTGGGAAAATTGGGAAAAAATTTTTATTTAATGATAAAAATTTGACATATAAACCATGTAAATAAAACCACAAAATATAAAGGAGTAAAATGCTGTTTATCTCCACCTCCTTACCAATTCTCTATTGGAGTCAGTGCACTCCATCTATATTACATAATGGAATCCCAAAATGCAATGCATATTGGCAGGAAATACAAAACTCCCAAGAAATCAATGTCCAAGTAGGATATAGAAATAACTTATTTAAGTTATTATTAAAAAAACTTTTCGTGTGTGTAAAATAACTAATTTAAGTTATTTTTCTGATAACCTGTTTGCATTATGCCATTGACTGATGTATATGCACAATCATAGTACAACATATACAATGTAAATATATATAGGTCTTTGACAAGAGGTAAGGAAAAAAAATACAGTACATGTAACTATTGTCATATTCTAAAGGACGAGATCAAAAGTTCAACATCTGACAAAAAACCTGACAAGTGCTGTTTTGTTGACTAGAATGTGTTTGTGAAGAGAAATATGATGATATGATGAATTTTGAAGAAATTCCATCATGAGTATATGCACATTACTTTCTAAAATTCAGAGACAATTTTGTGAGCATTTTTAATACTTGAGATTGCGATTATTTGAATTAACATTACTCTTTTGCATTGGAAGTAGGAAACATGAATAAGCTGGGGGCAATGTGCTGTTGAATACACTAAGAAATCTAGATTGATCACTTTAGATTTTTAAATGATCACATATAAGCAAAAAGTCCTGATGAAATATCTTGTTACATGTTCGGTGCACCAGCTGATAAAATGTACGTAGGATATGCTAGTTCCCTTGAATTACATTTTTTTTTTTTAGATATTTTCCACTTAGCCAACTCTTCTAGTTCTAATAATAATTTCAACTATTTCTTTCTGATAAATGTTACTTTTGGAAGGTTAAACATTCTGAATTTGATGACTTATGTTCTGAAGTGCAAAAATTGGCAATTCATTGTACTTTTGGCATACTCATTGTCACTTAGTGTAAACAATATGTTATGCCCCCCAAGAAAGACGTGAGATTTGGAGCTTTCTTGACTTTATTGCAAAAGAGCAACAGTAAGTTAATAACCCCAAGGTAATCTCAATGCTAAATATTACTTAATTGGTGAATTTCAGAATCCGAGGATCGGCTGACTACTAGTGTTGTTACGATATTTGCCGACTATTGAAAAATCGATACTGAAGGCAGCACATCAATGAGAATCAATAGAAAATTTTAAAATCGATAGTCGCTACATTTTTTCAAAATATTTTTAATACAAACCAGTTTATCTTTTAACATTATCAAAGAATATTCCTCTTTTTCTCTTGCAAATGGCAGACCAATTTTCCTACTAAGCATAAACTGAAGTTGGTCTCACAAATTCGTATTGAAATATTGTTTTCATTTATGAGGATATCTGAATATTTCATGGTTAACTTTTTCTACGAGGGGTGATCAAAAAGTTTGTGAACTAATTGAATAACTTCCTTTAAGAAATAAAATGAGGTTTCAGTGTTCATTATTTTTTAAAGAAGTCCTCTCCGATTTTAATGCACATCTGTCATTGTTCTGCCCATGCGCAAACCATGTGATCCAAGTTGTCACGTGACATGCTTCATAGCGGTCTGTTCACAGAAGCTAAGAGATTTTTCCGAGTCTTATATTTCTTACCATGCAAGTAATTTTTTATAACAAGAACAGACCATCTGTCAGAAATGGCCAAATATCGGCAATAGGATGGGTGGATAAGGATATCCCTTCCCAGAATTAGCATGGTGACCATCACAACCCGAGTCCTCTGTCTCGAGAGCGTTGTTTATCCAATGTGGAAAAAGTATGGGCACCTTCTTTGTTTCATATCTCATATGTTTAAAATCTAAAGTAACCAATATTTTAGGGATTTAATAATTATATTATTGCTCAGATATTCAACTATTTTTCTTACTATAACTTGGCAATCTTTCGAAACAAATTTCTCAACTAAGGACACATATTTTTACCGGCTTGCTTTCGCTGGTTAACAGAACAAACAGCATTTTTTGCTCACCTGAGCTGAAAGCTCAAGTGAGTTTTTCTGATCACCCATTGGCCGTCGTCCGTCTGTCCATCTGTCTAGCTGTCCATCCGTCTGTAAACTTTTCACATTTTCGACTTCTTCTCAAGAACTACTGGGCCAATTTTAACCAAACTTGGTACAGAGCATCCTTGGGTGAAGGGGAGTTTAAATTATTAAAATGAAGGGCTAAGTCCCCTTCCAAGGGGAGATAATCAAGAAAATACAAAAATTGGGTGGGGTCATCAAAAAATCTTCTTCTCAAGAACCACTAGGCCAGAAAAGCTGAAACTTATGTGGAAGCATCCTGGGGTAGTGTAGATTCTAAATTGTCCAAATCATGACCCCTGGGGATAGGACGGGGCCACAATAGGGAATCCAAGTTTTACATTGAAATATATAGTAAAAATCTTTAAAAATCTTCTTCTCAAGAACCACTGGGCCAGAGAAGCTGAAACATATGTGGAAGCATTCTGGGGTAGTGTAGATTCTAAATTGTTCAAATCATGACCCCCGGTGGTAGGATGGGGCCACAATAGGGAATCCAAGTTTTACATTGAAATAGTATTTAAAAATAATTAAAAATCTTCTTCTCAAGAACCACTGGACTAGAAAAGCTTACACTTATGTGGAAGCATCCTGGGGTAGTGTAGATTCCAGGGCTCAACATTAATGCTTGTCCGCTTGTCCGGTACCAGTGAAAAAAAATTACGGACAAGTGAATATCGCTGGGCGCTTGTCCGATTGCACAAGTGCATTTAAATTTAAAGAAGTCTCAAAATAATAAAAAGAACGACTGTCGAACGTTTATCGGTACTGAAGTTCAAAGACGGAAGTAGTATGTTCCTAATACCGAACTTAGATTCCAATATGGATCACTATGTAGTTGAGTTCACACTTGATTGGGATCGAAGTTTACTAATTGCATACTACTGCAAAGGCATGGAATTTATGAAGTTTGGATTCTGTTTGATGTTGACAGTCCCATTTATGTTGTTGTTAGGACAGAAAGTCTAGATAAAATTTTGTGTTATGTGTTTGTTGTATTTATCAATAACATCATGAATCAATCAAGCACATGTATTGGAATTCATTTTAGTTTTCAAGTTGACAGTATTAGATCTTTATTGAAAATTTTTTCTGACAAGTGAAGTTGAAGTTCGGACAAGTAAATGTCTTGGTCACTTGTCCGAATGGACAAGTAGGAAAAAAAGTTAATGTCGAGCCCTGGATTCTAAATTGTTCAAATCATGACCCCTGGGGGTAGGGCGGGGCCACAATAGGGAATCCAAGTTTTACATTGAAATATGTAGTAAAAATCTTTAAAAATCTTCTTCTCAAGAACCACTGGGCCAGAAAAGCTGAAACTTATGTGGAAACATTCTTGGGTAGTGTAGATTCTAAATTGTTCAAATCATGACCCCAGGGGTTAGGGTGGGGCCTCAATAGGGAATCCAATTTTTATCTTGAAATATATAGTAAAAATATTTAAAAATCTTTTTCTCAAGAACCACTGAGCCAGAGAAGCTGAAACTTATGTAGAAGCATTGTAGGGTAGGGTAGATTCTAAATTGTTCAAATCATGACCCCCCGGGGTAGGGCGGGGCCACAATAGGGAATCCAAGTTTTACATTGAAATATGTAGTAAAAATATTTAGAAATCTTATTCTCAAGAACCACTGGGCCAGAAAAGCTGAAACTTATGTGGAAGCATTCTGGGGTAGTGTAGATTCTAAATTGTTCAAATAATGACCCCCGGGGGTAGGGCAGGGCCACAATAGGGAATCCAACTTTAACATTGAAATATGTAGTAAAAATATTTAAAAATCTTCTTCTCAAGAACCGCTGAGCCAGAAAAGCTGAAACTTATGTGGAAGCATCCTGGGGTAGTGTAGATTCTACATTGTTCAAATCATGACCCCAGGGTAGGTTGGGGCCACAATAAGTACTACAGGAGGGGGGGGGGAGAAATCAGGTGAAAAACAGCAAGACCAGAGTTACTCAGGTGAGCGCTGTGGCCCATGGGCCTCTTGTTAACCATCTCCCTGCCTTCACTAAAACATTCAATCCAGTTAATGATTGAACTTCTGGTAAGCCTTTTGTCTTCATATTTACCTTGTACAAATTATCCTATTCTACTGAAAGGAATTTCCGAGATATGTTCGTTGCTCAAGCACGACTGAGTCAACCGTTGTTTGTCACAAGTGACCTACATACTGACATCATTTTCACAATGTGACAATATAAACACGGAGCAAAACATTATGTAACATCTGCTATTTATAGAACGTGTATGACTATATGTGTGCCAAATTTCATTCTGATCTGAATTGTGGTTTTTCAAATATAGAGATAGTTTGCTAACTTTTTGATCACCCCTCGTAATTTAACCTTTAAATTAAAGTTCAAACTATAGATCGTATAATTGATTATATGCTACCAATTCAATTTGAAATTGATAGTAAATTTGGTCCGATTTTGCAACACTACTGACTTCCTTATTATCTTTTTGTAGATTCTCTATGGACAAATGCAAATTTCATAATCTAAATTTTTTAAAAATTTTTATGTACATGTATCTCATTTCATCTTGGATCAAACAGAATACCAAAGAATGCATATTGCTTGTAACAAGATCATCTGATTTAATATACAATAATTTGTAATATATTATTCTTCATAATAGCTCAAGTTGCAACCATACATGTATATATATACAATAGAAGTTAATTAAGTTAAAAAGAATTCTTCTGACAAGGTCTTGGCACTTTAAGTGAAAGTTGTTTTTTTTTTGGATGAGAGTCCTGTGTTACAGCAGGAGTTAATTGGCACAAAAAAATCCCTGTACTGCTCATAGTGCTGAGTAAATGGTAAAAGTCTAAATTTGAAGCCCTTCACTGGCCATCTCTGTGTGAAATAATCTTGCAAGGAACATAAAACTACAATCATTCAAGTAATCAATATTATTCTCACTTTTTAGGTTCAGTAAAAATCTTCAGACATTCAGATTTCATCTTTTTGATGTAATTCAGCAGCTTCACACACAAAAGAAAAGAGAGAGCATGGAGCCATGTGGAATTGAGTATCATATTCTTTTTGAGAAATTTCTTGGATTATTTGAATTCAGAGCAAAGTAAGTCAAAATTTCTTTGCTTCCTAGCTTCCCAAAAAAATATGATTGTCATAATTTTAGACATATGTTAAAGACCATCCTAGACATTTCTTGCAGAGATGTAATCATGTTGCATCTTGGGACTTCAGCCACTTCAGATTTTGCCTATAACATATTATTTCAGGAGAAGGTCTTCAATACAATCCATTACCAAGTAACTTGACCAATCTTATATAGATGTTGCATTTTGGGATTAGTCCTGCAGTCATGCTTGAGATGCTGCATTTGACAAAATAATGTTTTAATTACTTCCTGCATGAATGATTAGATCAAAATACATGTACATGTATATGGATTACTTCCATATTTCAATCTCCAAGTACCTACAGCTTCAAAGTTGAATAAATGTTCATGGATGTCAAGCATCATACTCTTAATCTTGCTATTCATGCTGCATGTGATCTACATTTTACTGCCTAATTGATTAAGGTAAAGCGGTTAGAGCAGGTCAGTTCTAATAAAAGTGAATATATGTCTCACATTGACCATTATTGTGTGGCTGTTATCAATAAGAATATATGCTTTAGTTATTTCAAATGATGCAATTCATTGAAACATTTCTAATTTTAAATTATTTACACTATAGCCAACAATAAACAATTCTCTTTAGAAGACAGCCATGTTCATATGTTCATATTTTAGATGCCTGACATGTACATATGACGCATTATATTTGTGAAAGATCAGAATAAGGTTTATTTTCCCTATGTTCACTCTTTTAAAATGGTTTTAAAACTATTTTTCAAGAGAATCTAATTTATAAATAGAGTGTATACATACAATTTCAGTATAATTGCAGGGCAAAGTTTGACAGGAATTAGCTTTTACATGTTTTAGTTTGGCTACTTTTATACATAAAGGAATGATAATCATTTATGCCTGTGAGAGTTAACTCTCTTAGCAGAGGGGCGATGAACATTAAATGTTTATGCTCTACATGTCTATATTAATAAAGTACTGTAGATTCCTAAATATATGCGAGGAATTCATTATCGCGTAATTACGCGAGAAGCACCACTCGCGAAATAAAATTTCTCGCTTTTATTTTTTTATGGTGCTGAAATCAATGTAAAACCCCTTGATCAACCGCCCACTCACGAATTATTGTTCTCGCGATTTGACGTGAAAGAGCCATTTCGCGATAATAAGTACTCGCGAAAAATAAGGAATCTACTGTAACAGTACTTATCTGTCAAGGGATGACAAATCTGCTTAGCCTATGTTTTAATCTACACAGCATAAGGTAGCCCAGTGGATTTTATCATCAGTCAGGGTTTTTATGCCCCGGATCGAAAGATCCCGGGGGTATATTGTTTTTGTCCTGTCTGTCTGTTTGTCTGTTTGTTTGTCTGTTTGTCCGTTTGTCTGTCTGTCTGTTGTCAACTTTAACCTTGCCCATAACTTTTGATTGGTTGGAGCTATGACTTTCATATTTCACATGTGTATTCCTTGTGACAAGACCTTACTTTGGGTACCATCATATTTGACCTTTTGACCTTGACCTTGGAGTTTGACCCACTTTTGCAAAATTTTATGAGACTTTAACCTTGGCCATAACTTCTGAACAGTTGGAGCATGGGGTTTCAAACTTCACATGTGTATTCTTTGTGACAAGGCCTTCTTTTGGATACCAACCACTTTGACCTTTTGATCTTGACCTTGGACTTTGACCTACTTTTGAAAAACATTAACCTTGGCCATAACTTTTGAACAGTTGGTGCTTAGGGTTTCAAACTTCACCTGTGTATTTCTTGTGACAAGACCTTCCTCTGGATATCAACCACTTTGACCCTTTTGACCTTGACCTAGGAGTTTGACCTACTTTTGAAAAACTTTAACCTTGGCCATAACTTTTGAATGGTTGGAGCTAGGGCTTTCATACTTCACATATGTAATCCTTGTGACAAGACCTTCCTTTGAATACCAACGACTTTGACCTTTTGACCTTGACCTAGGAGTTTGACCTACTTTTGAAAAACTTTAACCTTGGCCATAACTTTTGAATGGTTGGTGCTAGGGCTTTCATACTTCACATATGTAATCCTTGTGACAAGATATTCCTTTGGATACCAGCCACTTTGACCTTGACCTTGACGTTTGACTTTTATTTAAAAAAATTTAACCTTCACCATAACTTTTGAACAGTTGTATCTAGGTCTTTCAAATTTCACAGGTGTTTTCCTCGAGACAAGATCTTTCTTTGGGTATCAACATTTTTTATCTTTTGGCCTGGATTTTGACTTGCATTTGAGAAACTTTAACCTTCGACATAAGCTGCCATACGGGGGCATAGTGTTTCACAAACACATCTTGTTTTAAGGTCTGAAAATCAAGGGCCTGGGCCTTTCCATTTGGGAAAAATAGCAACATTTGGTTCAAATTGGGAAAAAATCGTATTTAATATTTTTGTAATTAAAATCAAGTAAGAGGGTTTTTTTTTTTTCATTTGCAAGGTATTTATTGACTTATTTTACATTCAGTCAATCAGTTTTTGGAGCATGCCTTATAGAATTTTTTTGGGAAAACCATTCCTGATATACATGTTACTGAGTTCAGACATTTTTAAACCACATTTGTTTGTTTCGATTCTCTTTTGGGAATTTTTCTTTTGTGAAATTGGGAAAAATACATACTTTTTACCAATGGGAATGGGGCCTATTACAGGCCCCCTATGACTCCTAAAAAAACCCTATCAGTATTTGAAATGATCCCAACTCAGAGTCAAACAGTGTAGAGTGAGTTAATCAGCCATTCCTCAATAGCATTGCAAAGGGAGATAAATCAGTTATAAAAGCACAAACAACTTTTATAGCTAACCCCTTAACTAAAGTGTATAGTGAACTACTAGTATTAAATCAAATTTTTTTAGCTAATGACAGATTTGTACATGTAGTTCATATATATTTGTTTACTTAAATTCTATCAAATATTGTTAGTGAGGTAATTGGTTCAAATATTGATATAAAATATTAAAAATACTAACAGCGAATTATTATATCTATCAGGTTTTGCTTTCTGTTTGGATATTTTTGAACGTAATTCTAACATAAGTATAATTATAAGAGGTATTACCATTTAAAGTGTATTTTCAAATGGCAATTGTTGCAGTTGATTCAGACTGCTTTTCAATCATCAACTTTCCTTATAATTTCTAGGTCACCTGAGTAATATGCGTCAGACTCTGTTGTGCATGAACATTTGAACATTTTCAGCTTCTTCTCTGAAACCGCTCAACCAATTTTAACCAATTTTGACATATAGCATTTATGGGTGAAGGGGAACAAAATTGTGAATTTCATGGTCCCCGCCCCCCCCCCCCCCCCCCTGGGGCCTGAGGGGTAGGGCTAAAACCACCAAAATTAATGCAATCTTTAAAAATCTTCTTAACTCCTGGGCATCAAGCAGTCAAACTGTTGGCATGATTGTAATAAGGATTGAGCCCTTTACCAAAATTATGAAATTCATGGCCCCAGGGTCAGGGGTTGTGGTGCTAGGGTGAGGCTATATACATCATATAGTGAAAGTGCATTATTTCTTTGAAAATCTTCTTCTCTGCTCCTGGGTATTAGATAAACTAAGTACAAAGTTATGTTGAGCAAGGCTGCCTCTTCCAAAATTGTGAATTTCATGGCCCCTGGGTCAGGGGTTCAGGTGTTAGGGCAGGGCTTTATTGATTGTATAGTGAAAATGCATTAAATCTTTGAAAATATTCTGCCCCTGGGTATGAAATAAACTAACAAAGTACATAGTTATGATGAGCAAGAGTGCCTCAACCAAATTTGTGAATTTTTATGGCCCCAGGGTCAGGGATTCTGGAGTTGGGGGGGGGGGCTCTATTGATTATGTAGTGAAAATTCATAATTTCTTTAAAAATATTTTTTCTACTCCTGGTAATCATGGTTATAAACAAAGAAACAAGTGTTATGATGAGCAAGGATGCTTTTACAAAATTTTTAAAACTTGTGGTCCCAGGGGTTCTGTTGTTTCTCTGAGGGGGGAGGGGGCTCTATTTGATTATATAGTGAAAATATGTGAATTCTTTGAAAATCTTCAACTAATTGCATAGTTATGTTGATGAGGGTACCTCTTCCAAATTGGTAAATTTTCATGACCCTAGGTCATGGGTTCTGGTGTTACATGTAGTGTAGGGCTCTGTTAAATAGTGAAAATGCATTATTTCTTTGAAAATCTCCTCTGCTCCTGGGCATATTGGAAGCAAACAGAGTAAAAGTTTTAATAAGCAAGAGTATTTTTACCAGAATTTTGAACATCTGGACCATTTAGTCAAGTGTTCTGGTCCTGGCCAGGGCTCTATTAATTTGTATTCTACTGAGTGAAGTTATTCCCCTTTGCCATTTGCCTTTGATAATTAATCACTGTAGATAACATATTTGAAAGGTTAATAGAATAAGAGAATTTTGCAAGAACATTTATTGTGTAATACAAAAAGTACTTTCATAGCTTTAATGATCAAGAAGACTTGGAAATAATAGAGGAATAAAAATGAAACAAAATTACTTATCTTTTTAAATGTTCTTCAAAGGCCTAGTGAGGCCAATATGAGAGGTAATAATATAGACATTTTGTTAAAAGTCTGCATGGTAATAATGATGAATTGGGGCAGATAGAAAGATACTAGACCATTTATTTTGTGGATCTTAATCTACTATTTTTCTTGCTATTGGGCAACAAAGTTTCATTTATCAGTTTATGGTTCCTCTAAATTGTTGTGCTCAGATGACCGTTAAGGCCCTTGGTCCTCTTGTTTATGTAGTAATATTCCACTATCAACTGCTTATGGTGTTTATGTCTCCCAGCTTATTTGCTACTCAAGAGCTTGCTCCAAGTATAATCAATTTTTAAAGTGAGGCATGCTGCTCACTGATAAGTTGATGTTATAGGGATTTCAACAACCTCTTTTAAAGTCAGCATTTTGTAAATTCTATGGTCATTACAATGACCTTGTTAGCAAATATAACCTATCATTGGGTTGTATTTTGGTTGTCCTGCTTCATATTAATTATTAGGCCTTTGTTTTTATACTGAATTTGACTACAGAAAGTTCCATCTACCTGATCAACACAAAGGGCTCATGGCGGGTGTGACTGCATGGTCAACTGGGGATGCTTACTCCTCCTAGGCACCTGATTCCACTTCTGGAATTTCCAGGGGTCCATGTTTTATGCCCTCTTCACATACTTGTATTCTTTATAGTTTTTTTTTTTAGATTGAACACTGTTTGCTATCTTCACCTTTTACAGCTATAGCAAATTGGCAATTTTGAAATTCTTGTAGATCACAGCCACAATTTCCAAGAGGTCTGGCAAAAATATTTGATCAAGAGATATCTTCAAAAGCTGATCTTCTTTGTTTGAAAAGTGATGAACCAAAGACGATATTATTTCTCTGTAAGCATGGTGAGGTAAGTAAGATTTGTTTTGTTCATAATTTAATATTTTGAGTCTGCACAATTATTTCAATAATCATAGGTACTAATTTAACATATTACATATAAATAAATTGACCTGGAAGCAATTGCAAGATTGATATCTATTGCATGTATTCCAAAGTTCATTTTATTTACCACTGTGACAAATACAACCTTGAACATCATTCATAACTAACATATCCTGTATTATACAAATGCATAAGGTAGTCTAGTTCATGAAAAATTCTCCCTTGGCAGGTGAAAAGAAAATGCAGTTCAGATGAAGCAGGATACTCTCCTGCTAGGAAAAAGCTTTGTTCCACAACAGGACATGTTACAGTAACCAAGGAAGCAACTTCTAGCACAAATGTTGACATTGGTATGCCATCAGATTTGTATGCCCAGCATGTTGGTGAACTGCTTGCACATATGGACAGTTCTGTGATGAATCGTGGTCTACTTGGAATGGTCATTCAAAAGACAAATGTAAGTCAGAGGTTTTTGCATGATTTCAGTTTTTAGCTCACCTTAGTCAAAGGCTCAAGTGAGCTTTTCTGATTGAAATTTGTCCTTTGTCTGTCGTTGTTGTCGCCATCATTTTCGTTGTTGTCGTTGTAAACTTTTCACAATTTTATCTCCTTCTCCAGAACTAAAGGGCCAATTTCAACCAAACTTGGCACAGAGTATCCTTGAGAAAAGGGGATTCAAGTTTGTTCAAATGAAGGACCACACCATTTTCCAAGGGGAGATAATTACAAATTTGCAAAAAATTAATGGCATCTTTTAAAAAACTTCTTCTCAAGAACCACTGGGCCAGGAAAGATGAAACTCAAGTGGAATCAACCTCAGGTAGTGTAGATTTAAATTTGTTCAAATCGTGACCCCGGGGATAGGGTGGGGCCACAATGGATGATTAAAGTTATACATAGGAATATATAGGAAAAATCTTATGAAATCTTGTTCTCAAGAACAGCAAATACATGATTGGTCATATTAATATGGAAGCACCCTCAGGTAGGGTAGATTCAAGTTTGTTCAAATCATGACCCCCATGGGTAGGGTGGGGCCACAATGGACGATCAAAGTTTTATATAGAAGTATATAGGAAAAATCTTTTAAAAATCTTCTTCCCAAGAACAGCAAAGCCATGATTGGTCATATTTATATGGAAGCTTCCTCAGGTAATTTAGATTCATGTTTGGTCAAATCATGACCCCCGGGGGTAGGATGGGACCATAATGAATGTTCAAACTTGTAGGAAAAAAGTCAGAGTCAAAGAAATATGTAAGCATCTTTAGTTAGTGTAGATTCAATTTTGTTCAAATCATACTCCCCCCTTTTTAGGGGTAGGTCAAGACCACTTATGCATTAAAGCTTTTCAATACTGAACGAGTTTTGCTTTTTCCTAGCCACAGTGCTTAGGTGAGCGATGTGGCCCATGGGCCTCTTATCGATAAATAATATGCTATTTTCTAACCAAAAAAAAAAAAAAAAAAAAAAAAATTACATTTTTGATAGTGATGAAAAAGCCATGTTGATATCTTGCCCATTGCTTTTCACTGTGAATTGTTCACTATAGCTTGAACATTTTGGCTTTATTCTTTATAAAGATGTATTTTGAGGTTGTGATACATGTAATGAAAAAAAAAAGTTCTCTCTCAAAATTCATTTTACATGGTTTGATTCCATAGTGAAGCCTATTTTTTCTTACTTTTACTAACTAATCATAATATTGTGATGATCATCAATGCATTTAAGATAATTGGTTTTGATGGTTTTTACTTGTACATGTATTTCTTAGTTTAACAAAATTAGCAGCACATGAATAAACATAATGCATTAAGTTTATAAAAACAAGAGAAAATCATAAATAATCATTATGGTACAATGTAGTAGTTCACATGATTAATAACATGTGGAACTGATATATTTTGCAGGTAATATTCACCTACCTTGAGATTGAACAACAGAGCTATGAAAAAATGAGAAAAAGAAAAGAACCAGGGTCTGATTTTGATCAAACATTACAAAAGAATCCTGTATTATATTACACAGATCAGTATAACTTCTTGAAAAGGGATGATCGTCATGAAATTTTCAAAGCGCTAGTTGCTGTGAAAATGATGGAAATGAAAATTAGTAACAAATAAAGAAAAGAGTTTATTCATTATTCCAATGTCTTGTGTTGATTTTCTTCTATTAAAGAAATCTTACGATGACAAAGGCACATGTATACTTGGAATTATTCTTTTTTCTTTTTTTTCATGTTAATGATTGTGTAACAGGAAGGGAGTAAATGAGCAAGATATGAACCCGGTCGTCTGAACTCAGACAGGTGCTCTACCAACTGAACTATCTGGCCACTGGTGATGAAACGTGACTGACCACATTCCTCCATCCATAAAAGTCTTTGACCTTGAACTCAAACCCAAGGTCTTCTCTGACGGGTTTTCTCCTATTACTCTTAGTGTTGGCGTGGGTTTAAATGGAACAGGAAGAAAGAGGATGTGACTGACAAGGCTATCATGCAAAAACAGGCATGCTGAACTCTATGCAGGAGCTTTACTACAATAATATATAACATTAATATAGCAAAAATTGGTATAATTCTGCTTAACTTGTAACTTGAGCGATCGAACCCAATGTGTCATTAGCAAAAAGGAAAAAGTCAACTTGTAATTAATATTCTGGTTAAAAGTCGGCTCCTAGCTTGTAAAACAAGATGTTATTACAGTGAAACCTGTCTAATCCGACATGCATTGTGAAGGAATAGAGAGGATGTCGGATTCCACAGTATAAAGAACATAAAAACACACAAGGAATTCACAGTGAAAATAACTGCGCAGGTGACAAGCAGTTTTCACTGTAAAACGTTTTAATTATTTGCGCGTCGATATTCAAGAAAAATCCTTTATTTGTATATAAGAATAGGGGCAGATGGATGGAATTTAAGGGATTTTTTACGGTCAAGGTACTCCAAATTATTGCGCCAATGACTGAGAATCTTAAAGATATATGAATTACGATCATTTGTCATAGTTTAGTAACGTTCACAATAATGCTTCATTCGACACTCCTGTGTTCTTTTGAAGAAACTGCACCTGTACATGTGTACCTTATGTATTTTTCGGTTTTCATTTTGATTTAACAACGTGTAAGGCATGGTTTTGAAAATCATTGCATTTCTTTCTACTAAGACAATAAATTACGTATAATAATAATAGCTGTACATTGTATTCCGTCAACATTGTTCCTGTCATGCAGTGTAGAATGTATATTATTATTATTATTTTTTTTTTTTCATTTTCAATATTTTACATAAATTGCGTGTACATTTGAATTACATTTCAAAAAGCAAAAGCTATGAAACAAATGTGTTTAGTGTCATTCCGGATAAAATTTTGTCTAAGTCAAAATTTGACCACTAAAACCAAGACTGAATCAACTCGTGAAGGAAGTCGTCAACTTGGTTAAAAAAAATAATCTCTTGAAGAAAAACGGGTCCAGATTTTTAACAATATAAAGATACACATGTATTTTCATTTGGCGAAAATTCAAGTTTTGGTCAAATTAGACACGTATTTTATATTGCCTTATTTAGATCTCCCTAGTACAGGAGGCTTAGAAATATGTAGCGACTGATTCATAGATTAAGTAAGGGGACTTTGAAAGATATGAGGTACTTAATGACTGTACAAAGAGTAAAATCTGAGATATGTTTAACAATATGAGTATAAGGTGTCAATCATATCAAGTCGGAACGGTTTTGTTATCCAGAAAAAAAGAGAAATTCATTGTCCACATTTAAACGTATGAATGCTTAGCTTGGAAAGATTTAGCTTCAGTATAAGTGTATTTGTTTATATAAAAGAAAAACATGTTTCAAAGATCCAGCCTAATTGTAAGAGAGAAAGGTTTCCTTTGATCCTGTAAAATGATTTGATTTATGAATCTCGGTTAAGGAGAACTATTAAACAGTTTAATTCATTTCTTTTTACTCATACGTAGACGATATCAGCTATAGATAGAGTATCAAGGTTGCGTATGTAACCCTGTACAATAAACCTAACCAGTACTACATGTTAATAAATATAATTAGTAAAAGAGAAGGACGCGTGTCTTTAACTCTTCCAGTGCTTTCTACAAATCAGTATGATGATTTTTATATACCCCCCCCCCCAAAAAAAAATGAAATCTACATGTAATGACGACAGTTTGACCATGGAGCAGCGTGTGCATTTATTACTTGATTGAATGTCTTAAAATGATGCAATGGAGTTTATGTACTTCTTTACACAATTAAAGCGTTCTACTGCTTGAAACACCTGAGATGTTTTCTTATTTAAAGGAGTAACTGTTTATATGGCAAAACTGAGGTCTAAACATCATCCCACTTTCACAATTCATCATTCCTATAAATTCTTGACACAAAAAACAAGGAAAGACAATTTTCATTCCACTGAAGGAAATAAATCTTAGCTTGATATTGTGATGGTCATATTTAAAGTCTAACAATAGTATCAAATTGCCTTGCTTTGTTTAAATATATTGATTTACCTGTAATACAGACACATTACATGCTTGAAGCAGGAATATTTTTTTCTTTATAAAGTTACATGTACAAGGAAAAAAATGACATGTACCTGTGCGAATCTAATGAGAATTGATCAATTCCAATTAACTGCATATTTTTTTTTCTTCTGACGCTAGGTAAGATACTTTTTGATACATTGAATTATACAGAAATGAGTTTTTGTTGCACAAACTAGGCATAATTGAGTACCCATGGAGCACTTCTATTTTGTATGATTTGAAGAAATAATATTGTATGTTTACACGGTAGAATTTATCCCTCACAGTATGACTGGGAAATGTGCAGGGAGGTTACACTGTACTTTATTTTATATATATTACTACATTCACCATTTGTCTGAATCGATCAAGCTGAAAAGTGAATGAATATACAACAGTCTGGCCGAAATACAATAAACATCTAAATTGCACTGTTTCAGAAAATTGAATTGACAGATGAGATGATACAATTGTGTATTTTATTCAGCAGCCTTCTACTTTTACTATACAAAGGTAAGATACTATGACCAGTGATGTATATGTTTAATCCATTCCATATATTTAATTTGAAGGAAAATATCATTTTCCTACTTCAATTTCTTGTGCATTAAACTTCTTTACATAACACCGTCCGGGTTCCGTGCTTACATCACTGCAATGTTTAAGTATTCTTTTATAATGATCAGTTTTAATTACATTTTCCAGGGGATGGGGTTGAGGATGGGGCAAAGTCAAATTTCGTCCTTCCTGTAAAGTCATAGAAATATAATTTTAAAAATAAATATTATGTTGAAACAGCATACATGTAAGTATGCACAATAAGTGCCTTGGTTGCGTAGTTTTAACTATTACTATAATAAAAAAGTAGAGAATCAATACTGCTAAATGTATGTCTTTAAATCCTTGTAACACAGATAACATAAAGAAAGTATGGAAGTCATTGCTACATCATAAATGTAGTAAGATGTAGAAGATTTAGTGATTGATTGTATGTTGTTAAAAGTCGTATTCGAGAATTTTTTCACTTATATGGAGACGTACTGTAATTAGAAGCCGGTGAAGGGCTTCAAATTTTGACCTATGCATGGGACGTATGGCCATTGCAGCGAGGGATCTTTATCGTGTCATTGCCTACCTGAAACAGGGCTTGGTTTTAAGGTCTCATCCGAAAGATCCGTGAATTTAACTTCTAGTGTCACTCGTTTGGCGAAAGAACAGTCATTTATCCGAGTCGCTGTCATATTTTGATTCCATGAAAAATATCTTTTACACAGAGAATTCAGAAAGTTTAAAAGACATATTTCTCCGATGTGACTATGCTAGATATGTAAATGATTTAACATATGAGTTGTCTTTCCTGTGTAAGTAAATTCAGCATCACAGTGTTGGCAGTTATGGACTTAGAATTGCCGGTTCGTTTAAAATATTTTTAGACTTTAGAGAATAAAGGTATTTTTGCTACTTACTAATGATTGATTACATAATGATTGTTATTTTACGTCCCATTCGAAAATTTTTCACTCATATAGAGACGTCACCATATACCGGTGAAGGGCTTCAAATTTTGACCTTTACACGGCACTCAGGGTCATTGAGCAGTGAGGGATCTTTATCGTGCCAACGCCCCCCGTGACACGGGGCCTCGGTTTTTAAGGTCTCATCCGAAGGACCCGCAACTTTCACTTCAAAGTGCCGAGCGCATGGCGAAGGAACAGTTGCTACCCATTTTTTATCGACTTAGGTCAGTCGCGGCCGAGATTCGAACTCATGACCTCCCGATCACTGAGCGAGCGCTCTACCGACTGATCATGAGCTACCGTGAACGGTTTTACTTACAAATGAAGAAGACTTTGCCATATTTTATAAAATTGATTTGACGAAACAAAACGCTACCACTGACCAAAGTACTAATACATTTAACTATGATGAAAACACGACACGGTTTTAATTTCAAACTATGTAAGTAAGGAAATGATATGAAGAAGGGTAGCGTTCCGTGTGAATAAATATGTAGCAGCATAATTCCATACAATAAACGTTCGTAAATGTTAGTCCGTGTTGACTGACATCTTTTGTTATTTTCAAAACTGTTTATCTACGGATTTTTTTCGGTCACCCGATTATGACATGGGCCACACGGCGGGTGTGACCTGTTCACAGGCGACACTCACTCCTGATGACACCTGATCCCACCTCTGCTTTCAGAGGTCCGTGTTTGCTTTGCTCACAATAATGTTTAGTTGGACTTTTTGCATGATTTCTAGTCGTCATCTTCACAGTCTATTTCATGACATATATTTTAATCAATGAAAAATCACATTAGCAAAGTATTCTGGAACTTAATTATATGAATAGATTTATTATGACCGAGTATTACCTTGTTTTATTGAAGCAGATGTTGTGATGTGCAATGAACAATTATTGAACTGGTATGAGGCACAAAACGTCTGTAGATCAAAAAATTCATCATTATTTAATGGTGTTCCTAGACATGTTAATTCAACAGAAAACATCTGGATAGGAAAGTATCGACGACTGTCATCTTGGATTAAAATTATGGGTAGTGTTGATAATTTAATATTTGAATTTGATATATCA